TTGAGAGAGTGAAAATGGTGTGCGAATAGGTGCAAGGTGTAAGTGAGAGTGGATTTGAAAAATAATGAGCATGATCAATAAGGTGAGAAGGAAAAATGAATAAAATCAAGAAAATAAAAAAAATCAAGAATGAAGAACAAAATTCTAAAATAAAAGAAAATACAAGAAATTAAAGATGGTGGATTCAATTATAGATATGGGTAATCTACAATTGAACCCACTTCTTAGAAAAGGGTGATTCCCTAGAGGGTTCTAGCCTAAAGGCGAATCAAACAAAATAAAAATAAATAAAAAAAAGAAAAACTAAACCCAAGAGGGTTCTAGCCTCAAGGTGAATAGTATAAGAAATTAAAATCTAACTACAAAATAAATTGCAAAATATAATTACAAAATAAAATTGCAAGAATTAAATGCAAGAAAATAAATCTACTCTATAAGCATGAAATAAATCTAAGACAAGAGGGTTCTAGCCTCTTGGCTATTTAACAAGAAAAATAAAATCTAACTACAAGCATAGAAATAAATCTAAACTAATAAGCAATAAAAGAGAAAAGAAAGAAATGCAAACCTTCAAATAATTCTCCATCTTCATCTTCATCTTCATCATCCAACAAAGAGAAGAAGAGAAAAATTTAAAGTGGTGAAAAAATTATTATTATTAATTGCAACGAAAAGTTACAATTTTGGAAGACCTTCTCAATTAAGAGTAGCCCTCCTCTCCAAAAGGAGTTACAAAAATTTTCTCTTCATCTCCATCTTCATCATCCAACAAAGAGAAGAAATATTTAAAGTGGTGAAAAAATTATTATTATTAATTGCAACGAAAAGTTACAATTTTGGAAGACCTTCTCAATTAAGAGTAGCCCTCCTCTCCAAAAGGAGTTACAAAAATTTTCACCTCCTTAACCCCTCACTCTCTACCCCTATTTATAGTAATCTTCAATGAATATGAGCCATTGGATTTGTCTTGAGCTCCAAGCAACAATCTCCACCTTTGAATTTGCTATAAGAGGCCCATATAATTTATTTAATTTTCAAAAGAAATAAAAATCCAAGTTGCAAAAGCCAAGTCCAGTCCACATTTGAATTTCGGCCCAAATGATTTTCTTGTGATTCAAAGCTTCAGCAAATCATTCCAAATCCGGTCCACATTTAAATTTCGGCCCATTAAAATCCAGCTGCAGCAAATCATTTCGGTCTTCTTTGCATCCATTTGAGAAAAAAAAAACAATGCAAATCCATTTGTAAGTCCGGTCCACATTTGCATTTCTTGTGATTACTGCAGCAACCAAGGAAAGCAAGTTCTGGTCCATTTGATTTTTGGCAATTGATTTCAGAACTTTCTTGTGAAAATCCGGCCCATATGATTCATAAATGAAAATTCAAGTTTAAAATGCCAAGTCTTGCATTGAGTCCAGCCCATTGGAGATTTTTAAAGTTAAAATCCAAGCTCTAAGTCCACCGGCCCATTGTTTCTTCCCATGTGATAAAAACTCAAGTCTGCAGCACTCAAGTCCATTTATTTTTGGGCCTTCAAGCTTCAAATCCAACTAAAGCCTTGATTTTCATTTGATGAAAATCCAAGTCTCCAAAACAATGCAGCAGCTTGTGATTTTCGCATAAAAGTCCAATTCATTTTTAAGCAACCAAGTCCAAATCCGGTTCCTTGCACACATGTGATTTTCAAAAATTAATTCTCTTATTTCTTCATGTACTCAAAGGTCTTTGTTGAGAGATGAGATTTTTGGGATTTATTATTCATTAACCTGCAATTAAAGATTAAAGCAATTATTAGTGGTATATTTATTCATATAAAATAGATAATGAGGGTATAAAATTGTAATAAAATGTGATTATCAAATACCCCCACACCTAAACGGTCGATCGTCGGGCGCACAGCAGAAGCAGAAAGCTTCTATCTCTTACGCTGCTTGACCAATTATCCATTTTAAAAATTGTCTCACTAAAGTATCCTACTTCAAAAAATTATTCCATTTTAAAAATTGTTCCACTTCTATAAATAAAAGTCCTCCTGCAACATCAAGTCCACCTACACTGCTTGACCAAGTCAGTCACTAAGACTTAAAATGTGGAAGTGGTTGTGCCCACTTCCCACATTCATAAGAGACGGTTACACACCATTCTCCTCTATAAATAGCCACTAATGGCTACCAAAAAAAAAAGGGGGGTGGGGGGG